ACTAAAGAACTCTAGAACATAGAATTATGCTGAACTTTACCCTTTGACGTATCATGAGCTTTCATTTTAGAAGGTCAATATGCTAAAGACAGACAGACTCTTTGTTAAGTACTGGTATCCATATACATGTATAAGAGGAAAATTCATAATCCTACTTCAACTTTTATTTGTAGAACAAAACATTTTAAAATGAGCTGTATTTGGAAATTTATTTATAGCTATCAACAGATTTTTTTTTTTTTGGACATACCAATCAACATCAAAGCATTTCTAACTTATGCAACTAGCTGCACAAGGCATTTTCTAAATTAAAATAATAACTGGTTATATACATTTTGAAATTTGTTTTTTTTTAAAAATAAATTTAAAAACTCAATTTGTCATGTGCTTGCATTGATATGGTACATAATACATCTTACATAGAAGGTTTTAAATTGACTTACGGTTTTTGAATGTCAATTTAAATTTTAACCTGGATTAGTTTCATCCATGCCAGTACTCTTGGGATACTCTTCTTGGGATGATGCATTCCAGTCATTGTTCCTAATGGATTGTTGGCTGCCAACTAATAACTGCTTAATTTACTGGATATCATCAGGGGAAATCTTTTTCAGGAACTCCAGAAAACTATGAAGATTTATATACTAAAATATCTGGCAGTTCTCAGCCAGTTTTAGGAACACTTTAAACCTTTGCTTGAAGGATACACAAAATATACATGAAATATAATTTCCCCTGTTTCAGAATTCATAAATTACCATACTTCTAATTGCAAAGAGAAGACATCCTGCTTGCCAAAAACTTTTACCTTAACTGTAAAACTTAATTATTCCTTCTGATGAAGCAGCCATTGCATAATTTATTTATGGTGGCAACATAATACACCCCGCATAAAATTAAATAAAACAAGTACAAATATGTTCTCAGTAATTCAATAGCAAATTCTAGTGCAAAATTTATGTTTCAATTATAAAACAATAGAACTATAGCACTTCAAATGTATTCACTGCAAATATATTTTGGGGCCTTTGAATTTGGGGTTGATATTGCGAGGATGTTTGCCATAGTGACAGATATATATACCCATTCATTTAGGAAAAGCCAAGGGAAAGACATAAGGTGAAACAAGCAAAAGTCAAGAAAAGTTTAAATAGCCCTTCAAATAGTTGTAAAGTTCTTTTCAACTGGATTAAATCATATTATAATCAGCATGCTTTATCTTTCAAATCAACTACATGAACTATTCTAAATTCATATATCTGACAAATATATAGGTAACTGTTTCCTTATGGTAATTTTCTGTTGTTAGCCTGTTTGGCAAAAGTTTGAACCATTCCCTGCCCTTCAATGTTATTAATTAAAACACTAAGGGATCAGGTCTCATAACAAAATGTTCCAAAAAGTTTTAAAGTCAAGTCCCAGCTTTCCAAACTGTTAAAAAGGTTCTTGATTGCTGTTTAAACACATTAACCTGCAAAACAATTGTTACAGTAAAAGTATAATAGAAATATACCATCACATTTTCAAATGAAACTTGTATAAAAACCAAAAAAATCTAATAATCTAAATAGAATTATTGAATGTCCAATGAATACAATTAGAGCAGTGCTTCATCTTTTATTCTTTGGGTTTTATGTCAGAAAATATGGCTGCTAACTGATCATCAGAACATTTTTAGAAACTTGAATAATTTGTTGAAAAATATCTCCCCTTGTCACCATTTTAAATTTTTATGTTGAACAAAAATCTGATTAACAACATAGTCACTAATCTTTAGGTTTGAGATACAAAACTTTCTAGAACTAAACAATCCATTTCCTGAGACCTCCTGAAAACTATACTTCACCAATAAATCTTTAAAACAATTAGAAAATGTTAAAAGATTAACTCTTAATATATCTATATACAAATGAACTTAGATTGACTCCATAGATTTTATTTATCTGAAAACTGGAAATAATAACCTTAAGTCCAATGTTCAAATATTATCATTTTGAGCCCATCCATTTATTTTCACACTTCCTGAAGATTATTTCCTACATTTCTTAAATGCTTTTTCAAATTTATAAAAATTGTCTGGCAAAGTAGTATTATTTTCATGTTAAATTCACATAATTATTTGAAAGGTCCTTATGTTTTAGATTACATCAATCTTTTATAAAATATTCAGTTTCATGTAATATGTAGTTTGCTTTGCATGATGAATAGGGAATAAAATAATTACCATGTCTCCAGTTTAAGTGCAAGTTATAATTTTAGTTTACAAAATTAAATAAACAGCTGTGTTACAGGTCTCCCACATGCAAGGTGCTGTCCTCCGCATGAAAACATCACGGTGTCTAGACAGATACAGCCCCACCTTCTTCAAGCTTTGTAGTTTCCATTTCCTAAATTTTGTGTGCTTCATCTTTGAACTTTTATTTGCATTTTGTTTGTCTCTACAGCTCTCGTCTATTTTGAGAACCATATCATGGGGTTCAGTTTTGAGTTATTACTAAGAGTAAATAAGGAAAAGACATACAGAAAAGTTCAGTAAAAAAATTTGCCCAAAATCTTATGACCTCAAATCCCTAATATACCTTTCAGAAATCTACACTTTTCTTGCTGATAAAACTGCAGTTATGTTCAAGCAGTTCTTCTCGTTAAGTAATATATATGAAGATTACAACTACATTAGCCAAATTTTTCCTTTGTGTTCTACAACAAAAAAATTTATATATATATATATATTTGTATATATCAGAGTGCTTTCACTTACCAGATAACTGCCTTATCAGCAATCACATTATCTATAAAAGAATAAGTCACTCACTTAAAAAATTTGATTTCTCTATATGGAAGTGGTATGTTTTGAATCATCACAGAACTAGATAAGTGAAATGTGTAAGTTCAATAATATAACAAATCCTGACCTATAGTTTTACCTTTGAATGGGGAGAAGAAAAGAATCCACATATAGCAATACAAAATACCAAAAAGTTATGTTAAATCTATTGGAATAATCCATTTATTGCCTAATTTGAAAAACTTATATTTCTCCATTCTTGTTCATTTCTGCAGTTTGAATTCTTTTATGAGTCAGAAAAATACCAGTCTGGAAAGAGAAGCAATCCATAATTACAGCAGTTCCTGTGTACCCTCGGTATCAACACTTGTGCCAAAACATGCACGTTCAGAAAAAAAAATCAGGTTCCTCTTCTTTAACCAACCCTTTAATACTATTAAATTTATCTTGACATTTTGTTGTTCTATAATATTACGCAAAAAATGTGATATTAAAATATTTGCATACTCACTTTCTCGAACGACAGCAGTGGTGTGTTAGAATTAATGGAACAGTGGTAAACACGGATGGAAGGAAAGTGGGGAAGGGACCTTTGCAAGAGAAAAATCACTGGCTCACAGGATGCAAAGTTTCATTGCACTGGTATTTTGTATATCAATGACAGGATTCTGGAAGTGCTTTTAAAAATTCAAAACAAACAAACTTAATATACAATTTACTAGAAAAGCAAATTGATTTTATAAAACTGTAAGGTTTTTTGGAGTAATGTTTCATATTTTGATAGCACTTAAATAAATGTAAAAAGCTTACACCATAATAGTATTACTACTGAAAATTCACTTAAAAATAATTATGGAAAGGGCATGGCTTCTCTAGAAGATATTTCATTACAAATTTATCTTTGTTAACTATCCTTAACTTTTTTAAATATCCAAACTATTTTATTATGCCATACATAATAAAACACTTATTTCACAAATACTTTATTATTATGTATTATGAAGTTATTAGCAAATAAAACTGACTTGGGTTTCATGATATGTGTATGGCTGTTTCACTTTTTTAAGGGAATTTAGCCAACTAAATGAACAACGTATTCAACATAGGTTGCAAAAATGTGTAGACTTTTGTGTAAAAGTAATGCACAGAGATTTGATTTTAAAGTTTTACCACTATATTGTCATGAAGACACTTTAAAAATAATTATATCATTTCCTACTGTGTAATTGTATCCTTTTAAATTAACACTAAGCAAATTATAACAAGTACAAACAGGCAAGATTGAGCAGAGTAGTGCAAAAGTCTTTAGGCCAAAATAGAGACTCTAAAAAAGAGCCTACTGATGTCTAAAATTATCTTCACTATTTTGCCATAAAAATGTAACATTTGAGATGAAAATAAAATACTTAATAAGGCTTAAACACATAGGCTGGCCCAGGAAAACATCTCCGTGTGTGTGTGTGAGTGAGTGTGTGTGTGTGTGTGTGTGTGTGTGAGTGTGTGTGTGTACTCTTTCTAAGTACATGTATTTATAGTTTAGGCATTGCAGGCTTAAAATAGCAAATAAAACCAAAGTAAAATCAAAGCAATAAGGACAGCTGCTTGAATTCTTCTTTGGTCTAAAACCTGCTAAAGTTTTTGAAGAACTTTGGAAGAACCGAATTACAGTTTCTCCACAGAATATTTTCCTTTGGGAAATTTCCAGTTTTCAGAAATGTCCCACTCTTAGGGGAACCAAAACATTGTTTCCGGGTTGGTTATATCATTTCAGCAGCTGTGGTTTTCACTTTAGTAAGTGGTTATCAATTCTAGTTATGCCTTCATCAAACATTTAACTTTTCTATAATATTCTAAAGTTCTGTGTGAACCAAATTAAGCTTGTCATTCTATTACCCTCAACTGTTGCAGAAAGCAAAAAGAAAAACAATTGATGTTAGCTGTAGATTCATATGGTCCAAAAGACAAAAAGGGAATAAAATCATTTTCACTGATCCTTTTCTGCTATCCCTGACCTAGCTACTGCTGTCATCAAAACTAGAGCAGTACCCTTATCAGTCCAGTGTTCATAGGAGACTTAGCCAAATTCATTTCCCAGGGACATTGTGTCCCTAGTTTTCATCAGAATCTAGGTACAACCAAACGTGTGCTTTCATATGTAGTGTCCTGAGTACCAGCGTAGCACACAGCTCCCCTACACGCACTTACTTGGCTTTACCTGTTTTTATGCCGAGTCTTTAACAAGTTTCTTCCGAAAGGAGCCATGGTCCCTCTGGCGAGCAGGTTCCTAGGACGGTACCTCAGAGAGATCGGGGCTGGGGCCGGATCTCAACTTCTAGGCTGAATCTGCTCTTCACCTCTTCAGAATCTCCTGGCTTTCAGCTCATTAGGAGCCGGCTGAGAGAGCTGCTGGAAGTTGTGCAACTGCTGCTTAACTTTGAACTGCGGGATTGTTGTGGCTGCTTGAGTCTTTGGAGACCTGCCCAGCTTCAACCTCGGAGAAGGCGTTTGGAAGCAGGCAAAGAAAGAGAGAGAGAGAGAGAGAGAGAGAGGGAGACAGGAGGATGAAGGAGGAGGAGAGAAAAGACAAAAGAAGAGGGGAGAGAGGAGAGGAGGGGAGGCAAAAAGAAAGGTGCATTGAATTAGTCACATTCCCATACTAAACTTTAAGAACAGCCAACCCACAGGCATGGTAATACCCATGGAATGGGAATTTCACTCCACTTGGAAACTCCCCTTCCCCCGCTTTCCACACCCAGCCACACAAGGTGAGCACACGTAAGAGATTTTAAAGTAAAAACCCCCACCGCCCAGGCAGCTCCAGTCTGTAAATGTAATCCGATCGTGGAAAGCAGGAGCGGGGCCCAAAGCCACTTTGCCTACTGATTCCATACAGAATTCCCCCACCCGGCTGTCAACGCTCTAGCCTTAACGGAGGGGGGAGCGGAGCGGGAGACAGGATCCAGGGGGACCCCGGCAGAACCCCTGGGATTTGAAGCCCCGCAACGCCACGATCCTAACAGTTCTCCTCAACTCCACTCCTCCAGTCTCAAGCTCACTTTGCAAAAGTTGAAGGGACAAAGGGCTCCAAGGCTGAGTGATCGCGGCATCAACTCCGAACCGGCAGTGGATTTCTTTTGCCTCGACCCTGCCTGACTTTGGTATTTGCTGGGCCTTGGGGGCCATGGGAGTTTCAGAGCAAGGCGAACCCTGTGTTCCCGCCCCTCGCCAGGAGAACGGAGGGCTTCGGGAAACTGCGGGTGCAGGGAGGGTCGGGGTGTAAGGCGCCCCAGGACTGGGGGAGCCCGGCCCTGACCGTACTGCGGACCCCCAGAGCCTGGTGCAGCCCCGAGAGCTTCTATCACCGCCTTCCTCAGGCCCTGGCCCACTGCTCCCTGCCCGGCTTCTACTTTGGCCTTTGAGGTTTAGGATGAAGGAGGGAGGGAAAAGAAACCAATGGATACCATTCCCGAAGCACACGTCAGGCTGGCCCGGCTCCGAGCCCGGGCAAAGCACAGGAAGGGTTGTATTTTCTTCAGGAACTGCCCCCACCCTCCCTGCAAAGTGACCCGAAGGTGTCCATGGTATTTATACACGGTGCCTTCTGCAGGATTCTACAGAGCTCAGAAAAATATGGTTGTATTTGCTTATTCTGAGTCTAATTCTTTCTATATGTATCTATAACATATATGTGTGCCTTCGTATCTAAAAATCATTTTATTTATATTTTTATATAATGTTACATGTGGTGTGTATTCCCTTAAATCATACATTTTTAAAAATTACCAGAGCCAGTTACATTTTTATTTTCTTGAGAAATAATATAATTCAAGGGTACATATCCATTTTAAAAGTACATATGGTCAGTGGTACCAGAAAAAAACCTTTACAAAAACAAGCATAGAGAAGACATATATTGGTAAACCTACAAGCAAATCTACAACCAAACATGCAAATTTTAACACTTTGAATGGTTTATATGAAAGAAAAACACATGACTGCATTTCTCCTTTTTTTTGGTTTTGATTTTACTTTGTTAACTCAACACACAAACAAAATATTTAAACTTTTATGGAAATTTGTCCAGTCGCTCTAAATTATTCACTATATTATCCCTTAAAGCTATACTATTTTCTTGTTAATACAATTACAGTCAATTTGCAAAGAATTTTGTCTTTTCAAATAACCCTGATTTTCCCATAGTTTCAGTACTCCATGCCTGTTAACATTAATTATATATACAGCTATGTTGCATTTTTCAATAAAATACTTTCATTGGAGAAAGAGGAAACAACATTACATCTTTATTAACACAATCAGGTTGAGCTTCAAGTTATCACAGATGAGTCTTATTTAGGATGTTGTAATTCCTCACATAAAATATCCTATTGCTATATTTCAAGACTGGCTCTTTCATAAGAATTAAACAGGGATTTACATAAATTAAATACACACAGTTTTATTATATATATTATGTTTCAATAAAGCTACGAAAAAACACAAAGGTTTATTGTCCCTCAGATATTAAAAACTGAAAGAAATAAGACATGGACATTAATATCTAAATAGAAAAATGAGCAAACAATAATTTTAAAAGTAAACAAACTATATTTTAAAATGTTACATTTGCTGGTCACTACACATGATATAGTTAAAGCAAAATGAGAGCTTATCCGGAATCTACCAAATGGATTAACTTTTTAGAAGATTACGCTCATCTTTGTTAAAAAGGTTAATTTGTAAAATATTACGTTGATCTCTGTCATAACAATGGTTAGCGTATTATACTCTAGTAGGTATAAATCGACATACCATTTTTCAAAACGAATTTGGCTATGTTCAGTAATATCCTTTTAAATATTCAAACTTTTATCCAAGTTTTTTGTAAGAAATTTTCCCAATGAAATAGTTCCATTAAGTTTTATAATTATTAATATTCATCTTGATAACTAAATGAAAAACTATAAGTAAATTGCTAACACTTTAGCTTGAGCACTTAATATTTCTGTAATGAGGTAGAGGGTTCTTAAAAATTCTCTTAAACTTGAAATTAAGGAAAAGAATAACTGTCCTTTCATGATACAATGAAGCATTGTCTAATAGCCCATCAGAAAGATTATTCAATTCTCTTGAAGAATGCATTTTTAACTTATTTATTAGGCTGAGATTGGGAAATATGTCAAACTGTAAAACAAAGTCAGTGAGTTAAAAATTATTTTTATCTAGTAGAAAAGAAAACAAAAAGTTAAGGGTTTATTGCCATATATAACATCATATAATTTTATATTTAATAATTTTATCTCCAAATAGATGGAAAATGTATACTTCCTTGTGTATTTCCATTAACATTTGAAAAAATCCAATGGACTGTGGTTCATTACCTTTAATAAAGAATGAATGAATATTTCATCACTTAAATGAAGATTATTGAACTTGTGGTTGAATTAATACCAAAAGCTTAATAGTGTTAAAACACTTTGATGACAAATCTGTATTTTAAAGGGCTTCTCATTAAGAAAACTAATGCATAACTTCTTCGTCTAGTTCATTTTTAAATCATTGACCTAGTCTTTTCTCATATTAAAAAGACTTAATCTCTTGTTGGCCTTGAACTCACCATGTAGCTCAAGCTGGCCTCAGACTTTCAGTGACCCTTCTTCCTTGGCCTCCCCAGCACTGAAATTACAGGAATTACAGGAATGTGCCATCACACCCACCTTAATTCCCTATATATAACTAAAGTTCAAAATTCTTCAACAGATCTTATGCATGAACCCCACAGACTGCAAAGATTTTTCAGACTCTCAACCACGCACATCAAGGTCTCAGTTATCTTTACCTTCCAATGTGTTCTAATCTTTGACAATAACCCACTTCATTACCTGTGTTGGGATTGAGGAGAAGGAGATTTAGGACAAACATACAAGACAGCAAATATATGGACTGTACAATTTATAGATATAATGTACAATATGATGGCTATAATTAATAATAGTGTATCACATTCAGGAATTTTGCTAAATAAATATAACTACTATTGCCAAAAGAAGAGAAATGAGTAACTACGGTAGAATACATATAGATAGATACAGGTATAACATATGTGAATTTGATTCACTATAATAAGTATTTTACTACATATGCACCTCACAACATAATATTATATATTTTAGGTATACACAATAAAAAATTTAAAACTAAAAACACCATTCTCACTGCCAGCATGAACCTTTTAGATTTTTTTCAGAATTAAGCATGGACTCTGTATTCTGGCATTCAAGGCTATTATGTGAACTTTTCTGTAAGATTTCACAGGAAAGCGGCACATAAAGTGTAGGAGCTGAGAGTGTTAATCCAAACTTCACAGAGTTCCCTGTCGCAGCTCTATCACTTCCTTGCAGAGATCTTAGTTAAATTGCTTAGCCTGTCTGAACCTCTCTGTTCACTTCCTCCATCCTTCTTTGTTCCTTCTTTCCTTTTCTCTCTGCCCCCTCCCTCCCTCCCTTCCTTTCTTCTTTCTTTTTCTTTTTTTTCCTTTTTTGGTCCTTTCTTTTTTCTTTCTTTCAAAGAGTCGCACAGGCCAACCTCGAGCTAGCTGTATATCTCAGGCTGCACTCAAATTTATGACGCTCCTATTTGAGCTTCCTATGTGCTGGGATTACAGGATGCACCATCAAACCTAGCTGAACCGCAGCTTTTTTAAATCTCAAAAATGTAAAAAACAATAAGGCATCCTCACTTTATCATTAAATGAAAGTTTAAGATGTTTCTTTTTTTAAAGAACCCGTCTTATCTATACATGTATTGCATTGCTATTTTCTCTGTATATTTTAATGATCAAATTGGCTTGCTGGAATGTTTATCATAGGCAACTGTGTGGGTGTGAGCCAGTTTTCCCCAGGGCCGCCATGAAAAAGAACAGCAGAGCTGAAATTCTAAGTCTTAGATTTCACACAGATACTCAGCTGTGAGCCAGTTTTTCACCACTTCCATGATGATCTGTGAGGAAATAATGTGGGAGAGGGCTTGCTGAAATCCACCAGTTTTATCTGATTTACTCAGACCCACTCCCAATTAAAGGAAAAGTAGTAAGATATCTAATCTCTTTCCTTTGGCCAAAAGAGAAGAATACATAAATAATTGCAGCTGGCCAGGAAGTGTGGGACCAAAAGTTGAGCAAGAATCTTTGGATGATCAGGAAATGACAAAATGACACTCTGACAAAATTGTTTATAGCAAAATCAAGGGAAATATTGTAGTGAATAGATAACTAAATTGAATTCCAGAGCTACTATTACCATGATTTTCTGTAGTGAATATCTAACTTCTGTACTTCTTTCCTGTCTTAAATTTTCTCATGGTGATAGAAACTGTAAAAAATATAATGATGTGGTTTTCCCACAAAATCTCTTAAATACTGATTGGTGGTGTCATGGGCTGTAAAACAACCTAAGAGTTTTTAGGTATGGTAGAAATAACAACTTCAGTGGTTTAAATAAAGCCCATAAGCAGATTCCATTTCAACTCTGAGATTCTGTGCTTGCCATGTTCTCTTGATTCTCCATAAAAGTTTAGAACAACACTCCTAAGATTTGCAGAACTTGTATAGTCAGTGTACAATTACTCATCCAGCTTCAATGGGCAGTTCCATTAAAATAGCTTTTAATTAATTAAACTCAATATTTGAGTAGTTGACTGGGTGGGTGTAGACTAGACATCTGTGTCCTAAATAAAAGGCCAAATTTCTTCCCTTACTAACTGTGGCCGTTATTAACTCGAAGAGATGAAGCGACAATCCGTATAAAGTTGGAAGAAGCAACCAGAAATTGTTTAACTCCAAATAAAGTTTTGAAAGCTGTGAAACACAGATACTTTCAGAAAATTAAACATGGGCACATAAATACATGTGTCTCCAAGTGTACAATCACCTTCTATAATAAATAATAAATATGTTGTGCTTTGAACTGGTATTTCTCGATTTGGTATCATATTTGATTGCAATGTGGTCAGCAAGAAACAAAATGTTTTCACGATTTTATCACTAAAAAATAGAAGTTGACAGCCTCATGAAAAATCAAGTAATTAACTCAAAACCAAACCTAGGCCAAACTATAAAGAAAGGTGATTTGAGAGTTGGTAAGAAACCTAAACACTTTCCACCCAAAATGTCTCATAAATAAGAATGTGGGACCCAGAGATAAATGCACTTGTTCAAAAACGCGTTTGTAGAGAGTACACCAAAAGTACACCTTGTTCTCTATGTTACTAAATCAGTTATTTTTGTACTGACATGTAAAATATAATAAAATTTAAAATATACAGTCTAAAATATAATTTAGAATTTATTCATACAAGCCTCATGTTTCTGTTAAG